GGGGGGGCAGAAATGAGAGAAAGATGAGAGAGACTTAAATCGAGTCGGGAAATGGGAAACACGACCGTGTCCCAGCACATTCAGATCCACGGAGGGGGTCCCTGTAGCCAAGGCCGTCCAATTGAGAAGGAAAACAATACCCTGACTCCGGCCTGCAGGTGGGGACAGAGAGCAAGGGGGGGGTGTGTAATCTTTGGTTCCTGACTCTAATCCTTCTGCAAGGTCATCGGTACGCTAAGGCGCGTTTGCGTTCTGGGTACCCCTGGCCTTTAATGCGCAAGCGGGCAGGAGCCGTGGTTCTGCAGCCTTATCTCCCTGCTTCCTACCTGCCTTCAGATCATTAAGTGTGTAAATCCGCCCTAACCACCCGTTTGAACGGCATCAAAGCGCTCAGAGAACCACTGATGCACATTTAGCAGCCGCACCGCTCACCAGTCACTCTGAAGTGCTTCATATCGCCTCAGCTTAATCAAAGGAGCATTAGCACCACCCCCCCACCCCCCCCAGACCTCCGGGGTGACACAGTCTCCCGGTTTGCCCCCAGAGTTCCGCGACGCCTTTGCTCTTTATCTGACTGCGCGCGTCCAAATTGAATTTGTCCTGCAGGGGTCGTGTGCCACTGCCAGAGGGGAGTATGTCAGTCGGAGCCAATGGCTCTGGGGGTTTCTCCGTCGGAATCTCCAGACCCCACCCCACTCCGACACCCCTCTTCCCACCCAGAAAGAAGGATTTCAGAGGCTGTCGGACCACCAGCTAAAAAATAAATCTCCCCAAAAAAAAAGAGAAAAGAAACAACGTATTTGAAGGGACTGGAGTACATCTATAAAAAATAAAGGACGAGACACACAGACTGGCAGGCAGACGGGGGGGGGGGGGGGGCAGCAATGAGAGAGAGCGACGTGCTGACATAGCCAGCGTCGGGTTTTAATCACACGCCGACTGCGACACACACTTCACTCCTTTCGAAAGCACAGTCACCTAAGGCTAATGCTTCTGATTGATCGGTCGAGTTACCCACCCCCCACACACCCCCCACCCAGTTTATTTTCTCCAATACCTCACATTGCCTAAATATTTAATGGGCATTCGAGCAGGCAGTATATAACCGGCAAAGCTGTCCATGAAAGTGTGATGAGCAAACAGCCGACCTTTACTCGGGGTTACTGGTGTTTAATGGTCGGGGGACGCTCTTCTCTGGCCAGAATCGCAACTCTCCGTCACGATCACCATCATTTTTATCACAGGGAAAGACTGTAGCATGATCATGGTCGTCCATAACAATTTACACTTGCTAAATAATTCAGACGCGCGCGTAATAAGTGACGAGCAGTGCAAGGTCAGGCATGCTGGGCTTTCAAAATTAAAGGTTTCTATCAGAGAGAAGAGTTAGCAGTTGCCCGGCCAGATGCCAATGTCTCAGGACCTACGTGCTATTTTTCCTTACGCACAAGAATAATCTCAGGTGTGATTTCAGTGGGTCGTGGTAAAAACAGAGCTTGATCTTTCGGAGAGAAGTCGTCCAAGATGCCCAGTACCTGGAATGCTCCGCTGGGGTTCACCGGCACGTTGGCCTGCTTCCACTCTGGGCCCTGGTTCCCAGAGATGCTCCAGAGCAGCGTGTCCACCGTGGCGATACCCTTCACCCGCATCAGGATGTTGAGGGAGCCTGTGGAGGCAAGCAAGCCGCAGGGACCCGTTAGTCGCTTAGTGGGTGTGGCTGTGGGCGGAACCCCCATCTCAGCCTGCCCACCTAAGCCATTGATGGTATGTGGCCTTCTGCACATTGACTGGGTGTGGCCTGGAGTGCTACCCCATCTTAACCACGCCAACCTCTGTCCCTCAGCGGATGGGCAGTACCCTTATCTTATCTTATCCCCTCACATCTTGTGCTCGGTGGATGAACTTGGCCCAGCAATTTCCAACACTGAGCTCTAGAAAGTGTGTGTGCGTGAGTGTGTGTGTCCCCAATCAATGGCCGCCTGCACATTCATAGTGGTGCCACTGGCACAATTTCAATGCTACATGCCTCCCTGGGATGGGGGGGTTGGGGGGGGGGTCTTCCATTAACTAGGGGCCACATACGGGCATGTCAGCACAGTTCTCGAGCCGCCGTTGCCTCCATCGACCTTTAATGTAAGTGAGAAGCGTGCTGCTTTAAAAAAGCAGAGGCCTGCCAAGCCTCCCCGCTGCCCTGTGTACGTGTGCCAGCGCCGCCCCAGGGGTGGGGTGAGGAAAATCAATCCTACAGAGAGACATCAAAACCCCCTCGCTTCATGCCAAGGATTATGGGTATCTGTACTCTGTGGACCCTGTTTAATGCAGTAGGAAGGAACGTCTGAGTGAGGGATAAACGGAGAGGTATGGGAACCCATCAGACTTCCACGGGCAACAAGAACAGCCCCCCTTCCCCAGCTGGCTTCCCTGAAAGTACCCAGACATCAGAAAACCACCACGGCAAGGACCATGCACCCTCGGGAGGTTACGGTCCTGCTTGGCCCGATTTGTCACCCGGTTTTTCACTGGAACCTGCACCAAAGATCCACCCAGAGCCTCATAATCCATGAGCCATTCATTCCTGCCAGCTCAAAATGTCAGTTTTTACTTTCCTTATCAGAAAGTGGTTTCCGGTCTCCCTCTTTTGCCCCAAATCCCAAACACCCCGAAAGAGGACACCCCCATTGGGTGGGTGGGGTGGGTCATGTGCTTCTATAGAAACAGTGGGATTGTCCCAATCTTTCACGCCCTACAGAGCATCCTGGCAGTCAGAGTGTCCTCGGGGGGGGGGGGGGGGGGGGTCAGATAGATTCACAGTCGACTATTGCTTTTCAGTGTGATTTCGGCACATACTACCCCTTGGTTCCCAAGGATACGGCTGGCTTGTGCACGGTATCCAGCCGGCCGCCTGATTCGCTGCTACATGTAAAATAACACGCAGTAACGGTGCCCTCCATAGAGATCCTGCTGCTGTTTCCGCCGGCTGGTTCTCTCTTTTTCTCTTTTTAAGACGACACATTAAACGACCCCAGAAAGCCACGGCCACCATTACCCGGGGTGACACGGGTGGCTTTATGGCCCCCTAACCCTGTGGGGTCTGACTCCACCCCTAGTCCTTGCCATCCTGGATGTTACTGGGCTCAGGCGGACCTGGGGGGGCGAAAACAGACAGGCACCCGGCCCAATCCGAAGGCTTCATTAAAAAGTCCCTGATTCCTTGGAGCTCTCATTAAATATTTAACCCCACACTTGTTTTGGCAGAGGGGTGGGGCCCCTCTTACAGCACTGCGTCACCGCTCTCGAACCCATCACCCTCCCTGAGGCTGAAAGGTGGCCTCGTGGAGCGCCAGGCTGTTACCTGAAAGTTCCCCACCACCGGGAAGCGCGTGCAGAAGGAGACAGCCTCCTCATTTGTGGTCCAGGGAGACTGTTTACACCAGTCGATGTTAACGGGCAAGATGGATCCTCCTCCTAAGGGGGCCGCCAAGCCCGGGGGTGGATTTCAGGCCCGCCCAACACGGAGTCACATATTTACGTGGCTATCGATCGGCGTTGGTAGGGCGGGCGGCATCGGAGCAGGCCTACGCTACCTCCTGCATTGCCAAAGCGAGTCGACCACATCCGCGTCCTCCATGTTACCGCCACCGTAGCCATGGGGTCGACGGGCTCATCGACGGCAAGCGCTCCGTGAGATTAACGGCACCGCGGCACAGACGGAGCAGGAGAATTAATCAGTGTGGAACCCAAACAGCCGACGCACGATTACTCTTTATTACTCGACGCTGGGTACTCCTTCCCTGTGCTGCGGTTCCTATGGCAACCCCCCCTCCACCTAAAACAACCAGCTCCCCCCCGTCAATACTATTCAGCTGCTGATAGACTGCCCTGCAAGGGATGCCACGCTCGCCGTCTCAGAGGGAGATGGGGGGGGGTTGTCCTATGCAGTGAGCTGCATGATGGTTTTCTTATGGGGGGAGGGAGGTTTACGGTCAAAGGCTCCTTGAGTCTGTCGATTACTCTCCTCCCTGTGGGGTGGTGGGGCTGCCTTGCTAAAGCTGAACATTAGGACCAGAGCACGGCCTTCAAGGAGGTGGCAAGGCCTGGGTGGTGGGGGGCTTTTATCTACTGTTAGAACCCTCACCCAACTTGGTAAGGCCAAGTAGGACCAATGGGCATAAGTGGAGCTGGCGGGCTGTGTGACAGCCCAGGAACTGAATACTCGACCTTGAAAGGCTTCTACTGTGTCACTGAACTGCCTGAACAGCCACGATCGAAGTAAATTCGTGCACATACCTAAAAAGCAACATTAGCCATAAGGTTAGCCACAGCATTAGCCCCAGCATTAGCCATAAGGTTAGCCACAGNGGGGGGGGGGCGTGTCAGCCATGGTGTTAGTGGGACAGCCACGCGGCGGAATGGGGCCACTGGGAATCGAATGTGATGAATGTGCGACCTCATTCCCTCTGCCAATAAGAGCGGGCGTGAGGTGCTCGGTCCTGGGTGCGAAGTCAGGGAGGGCAGAGGGCACAACCAATCACAGCCATCCGTCTGCCCTAATTCAGATTCAAGATTCAAGATTCAAAGAACTTTATTAATCCCAAAGGGAAATTGCTTTGTCTTGGTTATACGGGTCACAGGCTGGGTGTGGGTCAGCAGTCTTGCCGAATGAGGCTTCCTCAATTGCCCTAAACTTCAATCTGGGCCTGCTGCACATTATTCCGGGGTCTGGGAAAAGATAACATCAATGGGGCCCCCATGATGCACAGAACCACCCCCCCACCCCACCCCGGCCTCAACCTGCTGAATACAGCGACAGCCAAGAGCTCAGAGATACTGCCACACGACGCCACTGACTGGTAAAATTCAGCAAAAACCACTAAAAGCAGCAGCGAAAACAAAATTAGACGGTGCTCACTGCAGAGGGATGTGGCTGCTATCAGAGAAGGCCGGAGCCCCCCCTCCCCCTCAGAGCAGAAGGCGGCAATAAGGCCCCAGTAACAAGGCAGGAAGTACCGCCCTGGATGCCAGCCATGGTGAGCCACCGGCAAATGACCCCATGGCCGATATTAAGGATGAGCTGTCATCTGGTTACTGCGAGGTTCTGATGGGCGCGGGGACAGTGTGGATGGAAGACAGCTGACAGGAATAAAGAGGAAAGGCTGGGGGCGGGGCAGAGCAGGCACGGCTGGGGGCGGGGCACGTTTCAGTGGAGAGGGAGGGGCACCTGATCTGATCTGTCACCTTCATATTTTACCCTGAAATTTTCACTGCGGTGTTTGTCATTCACACTTACCCACGTATGTGACACTACTGTCAAAAGTGACTTCATATTTATTTACAGGCTTCAGATCTACAGAGCAGCTGGACAGTCTTATTACCTCGCCCTAAGGTACAACAGAATGGCCCTCCTGGGGTTCCCACCTTCACTTCAGAAAGGGCAGCGCTCGAGAATCCGCAGATGGATGAGGCATGCGGAATGGGGCGGGGGTGGGGCGGGGGGGGGTAGTGGGAATGCGAACATCCAAAAGGAGAGACTCCCATTTCCACCATGACAGCCAGGGGGAACCGAATGTGATGAGATGACAAGGGGCCAGACCCCCCCACCCCTCCCGGTTACTCTCCACCGGGAGAAATGACAAAAAAAAACACAGAGTACAGCAGGAAAAATGAATCTGTCCATAAGATCAGAATAAGAAAAGCCCCCCCCCCCCTCCAGGGTCTATTCACCTCGCAGGTTGTAAGCAGTTTACAGTTTATAGTCCGATCGTGTCACGGCCTGGGGGGGGTGGGGGACTGCATGGATGGCAGTCGTCTCAGACAGAGGTCAGTGTCAGAGTGGGGGGGCGGGGGAGGGGGCACCGTGTTAAGCCCCAACCTGATGCCCACCATGAACTGGGACCAGCAATTCTAAAAGACAGTTTTTATAACTTTCTGTTTGCCTAAGACTGTTTTTAAATAGCATTTAACTAATATTTTTTAAGTGGATTTCTGTGCAGAAGGAAATGAAATGACTTCTGTTTACTAAGTATTCATAATTAGATTTATGTACAATGGTTATGAACAAGTAATCACTGATTAATTTAATTAACGCTCCCTGCTTCATTCGTTTTAAATGGCTTAAGCAAAAATATTTACGAGCATCGCGTTAATTTAAACCTTTACAGTTATTACTAAGAACTATTTAGTTAAGACTGGAAGAGCAAGTATTTGGTAATAATGTTACACATAATGTGCTAAATGGTTCGTTCAGCTATTCACTCTATCAGGCCTAATTAATTAAGAACTCAGCTTCAGCAAAAACCAGAAAACACAGTGAGTGGTAAAGAGCAGAACTCTGAACGTAATAATTATTAAGGCAGGTATGACAGTATGTCATGAATCAGTAACGGGGCTCACATAAATGCATCAAGTTAATGCAATGTAATTGAAAAGCTATTACATTAATTTAATTGTACTGAAATTCCATTAATGTAATTGTAATGCAATTACATAAGTGTAATTGTGACTAGTAATTGTAATTTAAAACAAGTCACTCTGGATGGTAATTTTAGCTAAAAATACAAACAAGACACTGTAGTTTGTCTGTAGAACATAAGGTAATCATGTACATTCCCTAGTCTAAAGCTGGCGTAGAAACAGGTGGAATCTGGACAGTTTCAGGTGCGAATAAAC